CCTAAGTTAACACTTCTCTTTGGAATAAAAACCATGCGTATATACCTCAGGCCCGGTACCTGCCCACAGGTGCCAGCGAGGCAGCCTTGACTGCAAAGAATGTTAGACACACACTAGTCTCTCCCAACTCATGTCCCCATAAATGAGGCTAAAGGTCAGAACTGTGAGTTCTGCTGATGCAAAACACAGGTTATGCTCCAGAAAGAATAAAAGACACTGTATTCTAAGCCAAATGAGTGAACTTGGCCTAAACACAGACTCAGCTTGCCCCGAATGGCATGACTCACCATGGAAGCAGTGACATGAACTTTTGTGGTCATGGAGTGAGAGGCAGACACAAATCAGTGCATCTAACAACACACTGGCGGGGGCACCGAGTGGGCAGGTTTCAGCAGCAATTGTTCCGCTGTAGATTTTAGGCATTATCTATTGGGTGCTTAGCCTTGGGGGTGGGGGACACTAATACGTTTCTAGTTACTACATCCCAAAGCTTTACCTCACAGTCGAAGACTATTAAGCCAGGCACACAGGTAGGTGATAAATGGCTATTAAGCAGATTAAAGGTAGACCTAGATAGCTTTGGCTCTTGCATTTGCAACATTCACCCTTTGTACCATCGGCTCTGCTCAGTCATCAGTCTGCAGAATCGCCAGCCTAAGTGTAATGGACCTCAGCCCCCAGCAGTGAGGATGGAGACACCATTGTAGGGCTGAGGTTAGATGCTGCCTTAGAAGATTTGGTCCTGGAGGGCTGAGTCCCAGCAGGGCCGTGGTATCCTTGTATTCAAATGTGCATTTCTAACTGGCCATCTACACGCTGTTGTCTCATGACAGACTACACTGGCTGCTCATCTTGTAGGCGTCACTTTCTTGCTTGCTGCCCAAGAACCCATTTTGCACGTTTGTTCCGTTTCTAGGTGGCCTCTTTCTTCTAGGCCTCTCTACCACTGGACATTGATCTGGGGAGTTTTGATACTTTTAATCTTTTTTTCTATGGCTCGTTTAGAAATAGATTCACATTGCCTTTTGACCAATGGGAGTTTGAGCATCAGCTGGGGTGGGGATGGCTTTGAAGGAAAGTCTCTCTCAAAGGTGAAGGGAATCTGGCTGTGGTGATGCAGGTCTGTAATTCCAACACTCTGGATGCTGAGGCAGAAGGACCACAAGTTCAAGACCTACCTAGGCTTCCTAGAGGAACAACAACAAAATTAATTAAAAAGTAAGGAGGGAAATTCCTCCCCTTTCTGAATTCTGGGCATTTTCATGACTCAAGGTGCTTCTCTGACCATCTCAGGAACAGAGACGAAAGTCAAGGGAATTACAGAACTTGTCTAATGTCACAGGGCCAGTCTGTGAGTTCAAGACCAGCCTGGTTTACAATAGCTAGTTCCAGGACAAGCTCCAAAGCTACAGAAAAACCAAAAAAAAAAAAAAAAAAAAAAAAAGAACTCAAATCTTAGCACTCCTGTCAGGTAGCTCACAGCCATCTGAAACTCCAGCTCCAGGGGATCCAATGCCGTCTTCTGGCCTCCCTGGACATCCCACCTCTGCCATATACACACTCATAAATAAATAAAATAATTTT